CTTATGGAAAACATACTAAACTTTGGAACATACCTAAGGGATAACAGACTTGACACCTGCTAGAATATGAGAACATTTAATCCTGTTTCTTCAATAACTTATGGAAAACATACTAAACTTTGGAACATACCTAAGGGATAACAGACTTGACACCTGCTAGAATATGAGAACATTTAATCCTGTTTCTTCAATAACTTATGGAAAACATACTAAACTTTGGAACATACCTAAGGGATAACATACTTGGCACCTGCTAGAATATGAGAACATTTAGTCCTGTTTCTTCAATAACGTATGGAAAACATACTAAACTTTAGAATATACCTAAGGGATAACAGACGTGGCACCTGCTGGAATATGAAGACATTTAGGTAGTTTCTTTAATAAACTTATGGAAAACATACTAAACTTTAGAACATACCTGAGGGATCACAGACTTGGCTCCTGCTGGAATATGAGGACTCTTAGATATGGTTTCATCAATAAACTTATTGGAAACACTTTGTGGTTTATCCTTTTCAATATTTATAGGTTGATTTCTCCTGTCTTCAGATAATTTTTTTTGCCTTTCCTTAAAATTCATTGTCAAGATTATTAAAAAATGAGAGATAGAGAGAGGGATTTAGATAATATCTTGATGACAATAAAAAATTTAAAAGAAAGTTCTATTAAAAATATATAAATATTTTTGTCACATTGATCATTTGACTATGAAACAATATTTAATAAATAATGATTATATACATTTCAAATCTTACAAGTCCATAAATCACATACAAGTTACATTGTAAGCTCTTCATGCACATATTTTATTATTAGATCAACCACAAATACTTTAAACTTGCCTCTTCTGCTTTTCTAGCTTCCTCCCTCTCTTGATGATCTCTTGCTAATCTCCTTGCTCGTTCTTCTTCTGTTCGTTTATTTGCTTCTTCTTTTTCAGCTTGTGCAAGGTTCTCAAACTTAGCTCTAAGTCCTCTAGCTTTAAGTGGGACTGCAAAACAATATATTAAAAGTCATTACAGAACTTAAAGTTAATGGTTGTATCCTCCTCCCTTTTTTACACAGGTGATAATTTCTCTTTTTCTTGATGCAACACAAACTGATTATAAATCAAAGATATAAATACAGTTCAAAAAACATTTAATTTCATCAAACACTGATGAATATAAATTCCTATGAAATGTCTCATAATCACTAAGGAAATAGTTAAAAACACAAGGTTTCATTTTATTTCTTAATAAATGGAATTGATATACTTCTGGTCTTAAAACTAATTTTTAATCTGGGTTTTAAATAATTGTGTTAGTTAAGCCTAAATGTTCTTCTGACTCAAAATTAATTTATTTTAATAGCAGTTTTAGAGCTCTTCCTTGCTATAACCTGAAACTTATTTCGGTCAGTCAAGAAAGACTGTTCTTTCACAATTACCTGCTCATACTTGAATTCTGATTTAAGGACAAATCTTGGTGTCTTTATATTGCTGAATAAATACCAGTTTTGAGAAGTAGAAAAAAATATAACAAATAGAATGCACAGAAACAAATTCAGACTACATTATAAATTTTATAAATACAAAATACACAATATATGTCACCAAATGGATATTTTTTCATTTCTTACCCACTTCTGGCTTAACTCTCTCACACGAAGATTTGAAATTTGTTACATCTGAATAAGGCAATGCTGACTGAAAAAAAAATCACTTTTAATTTTGAAATATACAGGTAAATGCCATTTTTACATCATCATAAACAGCTCCATGATATATGTCACTTTGAAGAAAAACTAAAGAGTTCTTTATTGGTACCCAATATGATTTAATGTATTTGAATAAAAAGTAAAAATAATTTTAAAATAGGTTTGTTCACTAGGGTATTTTATAAACAATTTTCTATTAGATATTTTCTCTGCAGGTATTTCTAGAAATCACGGGTCACTTGATGAAGAAACAGCACCAATAAGGAATGCCTTCCAGAAATGCAAGTATTAATACCATTGTCAAGAACACTAAAAAATGAGAGAGAAAATGACTCTACTTGCAAATAACTAATAACTAAAAACATGACAAAAGAATAAAATTTAATATGAAAAAAATACAGTGATGAAAACAACTTAAAATATCACTATAGAAAACTTAGCTACACAATTTCAAAAAATAAAGGCATATTTGTACAGGAATAACAATAGTAATTCATCAGAGCAGTACTATTTCTTGATTCATTAACACCAAGATCTGTCACAGAGAAGCAATTTAATCCATGTACTCAGTGTGATGATAAATATATTAGTGAAACCAGTTGTTCAGTACAGCACATTTTCAGGAAAACACCCAGGCCTCCATGAATTTTTATTCTAAAGAGACCACTGCCAAACTCTTTCTAATGAAACAAGGTACAGTTGAAAAACACCATTTAACATTAAGCTCTTAGCAAAATGTAATAGTTCCTTTAATTATAAATTCAGAGTCTGATTTAATCTGATTAAAACCTCATAAAACAGAAATAATTCTTGGCCTTTGTGATTAACATTATTTTTGGTTCAGTAGCTTGTGGTTTTCTGTCATTCTAATTTTTCATAACATGCATGCAATAACACATAACATTCTCATTGTTAAGCAAGCTTCTAATTGTTTTATTCTTTTGAGTTAACAGTTTGCATTTGTATGTGACACTGTAGCCTTTGAGAAATGCATAACTTGAAATGTCAGGTTTAATAAAATATTTAATTTTCAGTCATTTTTGTTTGTAATTGTGGCATGGCATGCATATCATACATACTTCATAAGAACACTGAGCAAAATAAGGAACTCTTTTTCTCTTAAAACACTTTTTAAAATGCAATTTTTTTTATAAAAAAAGATCTCCTGCAACAATAAATATCATTACTTTCAGAAAAGTTACCTGTATTAGAATTCAAACTTAAAGATGGTATATAATTCTTCAAAATAATAAATAAAAACCGTCTCATTAATTATCTAAACACAGTCCACGAAAATATTGATTATTTTTCTAACTCGATAGATAAATATGTAGTCTAGGTTTAAAAAAAATTAAAATCTAAAATCATTAACTGTTATAATTTTTAGTTTTTAGTACGGCATATAATTAACAATTATTTTTGAGCATCTTGAATTTGAAATTTAAGAGTAAAAAGCACACATAAAAATCTGAAATATCAAAAATAAGTTTAAAATAGTTACTCGGACTAGTAACAAAACAGACTCGATATTTTCACAAACAAATCTTTAGTAAAAAATACTTCATTAAAAAATCTGATCTTTTTTGTACCGAATTTTGTAAAGATACACATACTGCATTAAAAGTTATGGTACAAATACTTAATGTGTGCAAATGTCTATACAAACTCGTGCATTGTATATTGAGCCCATCACGAAAGGGTTAATCTAGTAAGAAAATATCACTATTCAACAGTTGATGGCCTACAGATGCCGTGTGTATAAACATACACACACACACTATAATTGAAAAACAATATTGTTTTCTATAACATCAGTGTCACCAGAAATAAATAATTGCCACAAATAATGGAAAGACCTGGAAATAATGCAAGCTTATTTATAGTTAATTATATTTTTACTTTGTGATACTTATTCTTTGGAACAGTGTTCTCATATAAAAAACCTACAAAGTATGTTGTGTGAATTGACTGCATATTGGTAAACAAACACTTTAAAATTATTGATATCTCTTAGCAAATAATTCTAAAACAACACGGAGTATTATGATTCATTTTACATTCTTTATATTTTTACTTTTCCAGTATGTCAGCTAGATATTAGTACTTACTTTTGGAAGTTTAAAATGATCTACAACACAATTCAATATCAATGAAAGGATTAAATAGGAAATAAAAATTAATCCTCAAGTTGCTCAAGGTAACTTTGTATGTCTTAGTTTTATACTATGCTGAATATACCAAAAGGAGCTAATTACTGATTTGTTCAGAATCGCTAAAAAATTAGGTTTTTCCATAAAAACAAAGTCCCAGATTTAGAAAAGTACTTTAAGCAGATTTAACAATTCATATGCTTTAGAGGAATTTCAAATGTATTTATAATAGACAATTTCTTCTCCTCTTGACAGAAAGAAATAGCTTATATTGCAAACATTTGTGGATGTCAGTAATAAAGCTTAAAGACAACCATTAAAGTTACCTCCAGGTTTAAATCATGTCTATAAGTCATGATCCTGAGGTGTAAAACCTCCACTTCTCTTTTATAATTTGAGGTAACTAAGTAGTTTTTATTTAACTTTGCAATGTTACCTTTGTTAACTAGTTTTCTGAACAAATCTTGTCATGCGAGCTTACACCTCTGGAATAGCGTAAGGATCTATACTAGCAACAACATAGCAGCCTACAATAAGAAAGAGCTGTTCTCTGATAGCTTTACTTTTCTTGACAAACTCAAAGCTAACAGTTTAAAAGAGCATTTCACAGATAATTATGAATGATTAAAATATGTTATTGTTAGAAAATTTAAAAGTGTACACCTAATTTTTAAAATATGAAAATTTCAAAAAGTTCATTCAAAAGATCATGCAGCTATCTGCGACATGAATTTTGGGAAAACTACTAAATAATTCAATAGCTTTCAATGCACACAGCATATACTGTTTTGTCTTGTCCGCTACTTTGAAAATACAGAAAAATGTGCGATATTTGCCCAAAGCTACACAAGGGATATTTATTCATAGCTGTCCTTAACTTTGAACTGATAGGCCTAACCATTAAGCCATGCCTGGCACAGTACTATACTGATTCTGTTATTTTAACTTCCAATATAAAATATGTCAAACATTTTTGAGAAACAGAAAATTATTTAAAGTTAACTACTCTTACTGAGACTGTGCTCTAACAAAAAAGATATATTAGAAAGCTGTATTTTTTTACATATGTTTATAAAAAAAATTTCATGTGCTTCCCCATGCTTATAATCTAAATTCCATGCAACAAAATGCCCACTGAATATCAGAAGTATTAAAGATTGCTGAACATATCTTAAATGATCATACATGCTTTGAAAACAATTTAAAGGCAGGTTTACAAACATCATTAGATAAGCTCTCAAGAATTAATAACCTAACTCAATCAATCATGTGGTCTACAAAGTGATGAAAAGTATCCTATTTGATTGTGACTCATTTATTGAAGAATTATCAAATAGTAGCAAAAATAGGTCAATTGACACACTATAAAAATGTGTCGAATTGCCTTTTTTTTCACTTCATCAGTCACAAGAAGATGGCAATCACAGTTATTTACTGGAAGATTCAATCTCCTTTCATATACTATCATATCACTTTGAAAATTAGACTTCCTTCTTCTTCTCATTGTTTTATAGATTAATTAAGATGACACACAGAGCCAGCTCAAGCTCTTAAGCATGTTCTCACATACCTTGTCTTGGTTTTCTCTCTGAACCCCATATTTACCACCAAATCCTTTCTTCATATCAACTTGAGAAGAATGTGCTTCTGTTCTGGTTACCTCATCCCAACCATGAGCTAACTTATCCTTCCTATCTGCCTGAACACCATATTTTCCTCCAAACCCTTGAGAATAATCTAAAAAGAAGATAAAGCATTGGTATAAAATTATTCCAATCACACCTTAACTGTTTCAGCACGGGATTGATCCCTGGGCCGACCTCGTAACCATTTTGTGTTTGTTATAGTTTTCATGCTATAACTTTTAAATTAATTTGCAAATGTTAATGAAATTTGGCAGATTATCAGTAAATATTACAATGCTTTCATATGCAAAATATCAATTTTTTTTTTATTAAGTCTTCAGGTTTATAAAGCAATGTTTTCCTCATGCTTTTTTTTTCTTTTCACATGTTACCTATCTATCATGCAAAGCAATATTTATTTTAAGATTAAAAATACTTTTATATATCAGAAAATTTTGAAATTTCACATAAGAAATCTTTATAAAGTCAAGATAGTTATGAAACATTTCTTAAGAAAAACTTTATATTTTATTTGTTATTTTCAGTAATTAATCTCTGTATGGGTTCGGTAGATTTGACCTATTTTGCAACCACCATAAAAAATTGGGAATAAATATAAATTATGTCTCTTTCATTCTAGAATTAACACAAATTAAAACACAAAAACATAAATGTTTAAATTAAATAGCTTAAATCTCATAACATTATACATTTATATATATTTATCATCTTTATTATATTGACCTTTAAGCTGTGCCTGGCTAACAATACAGAAGTTACAATGACACGGCTCACGTGCACTCACGTTATCATATCAAATGACAAAACTGATCTTTGGTCTGTGCAAAGTAACTTGTCTTGGCTGTGTTCTAGTAGACTAGTATTTTGTAAAATACAGTCACATTTCAATTATTATACATTATATATGTATATAGATTATTGCTATTTTGAAATAAGTTCTTAAACTTATTTTTCTTAAAACATAGAACAGTAACTAAAGAAGTAATGCAAACAATTATCTCTTCTGGTTATGACCTTTGTAATCGATTGCTGCTTGATGTAGGTTGCTAAGCCTTTAAAAAATTGCATGTGGAGGATATGAAACAAAATATTTTTTTTCAGGTTTTATATATACATTTGAATAACTAAAAAAATCATAAATTACTACATTAATACCATGGAATTCCACTATAATTTATCAAGATGTATTTTAGTCTGAAAAAAATATTAAATTAAAAGCAGACTAAAGATACACTCTACCTCGTTGAAATATTGGTTCAAAAGAAAGAAATGGCGTCAAGTCAGTTTAAATGGCCAAGAAAGCCACTAGGGGGCCATTCTGAGCTTCTGATTGGTCATTCATGTCGTATATAGAAGTAAGTGTATATAAGGGAGCATTTCCAAAAATGGAAAAAGGTGGGCAGGGTGCCACTTTGTTTGATTTATTACATGAGCAATATCTTAGCAAATTGAATAGATAAGAGGCTCTTATTTTATATTCTAGATTGTCAATATTGGTAATTTGAGCTTCTAATCCATTTGAAACTATAGACTTAGTATTTTGACTTCACAAACATCTAATTTGAACCAGTGCTGTATTCAACATACCACATGACACACACAAATTGATGATTATCTGCGTTTTTTTTATATTTGCTTTTAAATTAAGAAAGTGAGTAATATATAGTACTAAAATTTGAATTATAATCTACAGTTTGATACCAAAGTTATTGACATAAGTTCATGAAATAGTAGTTGAATAAAATTTTGAATGCATGTCAACAAACGAGATGACATGGCCTTTCACCCTTGACCCGTCTTGAAAGAGTTAATATATAACTATGCGATTGTAGTTTTGAATTAGATTTTCTGATTGTTAGGAAGTCTTATTTTTAAATGCAATAATTATATCATCTGACTTGCCAATTTACATGTATCTTGTCAATAGTTACAAAAATTTAAGCATCTAAACTTTACATTTTATATGTTTAAATATCAAATCTTCATTATCAACTAGTTTTATGTATTGATATTAGATTTTTTGATCAAACTGAATATTTTTAAAAACCTTTTGACAGAACAGAGTGAAACTTGACATACAACTTAATTTCATTAATTAAACCTACAGAACATCAGATAAAAACCATCATTGTTGACAATTTGTGTATTATGTTTCCATTGCTTTTACTAGTTGCTTCAACTGTAATGTTCAAGTTAATGTCTTAGTCGGTTTTTTTAAATGTCTTGGTTTTTGCTTAACAACCACAAAATCAATAAAAACTTTCACCCAGTCTCACACATGCAAATAACTATGCAAGAAAACCTTATGAATGAATTCTTGTTTGATGGAATATGAGTCATAAATTAATACTTTGCTTTATAACCATGTAAAACAGCACATGATACTGACTCAGAATTTCACGCGTACTATATTCTGGGATTCATTTAGTTAATTTAAGTTTTTCGTCTCTAACAGAAACTCTTTAAAGGTAAAATAAAACAGAGTAAGGCATGGAATAGACTTTTCTGTTTAATGTTATGATTTTTACTATCATTAAAATCACTTTAAATAACTTACAAAAATAATGTTAAATACTTAGATACAAGTTGTTTGAAAAGTATAAGTAAGAAGACTAAAAACTCAAAGTTTTGTTTAAAAATGTATGATTTTACTACATGTAAAAAGAAGGATATTACATATTAAGTATACTTCACCATAACCATACAACAAATGGTCCAATTCTCAAACAATAACAGGTGTGGTCTGGTCATTGTAACAATGAAAACTGCAGGACATATATTTTGTCTATGCACAGTAAAATATTTTGAAGTACCCATATTGTACTTGTGAATATGTTTTTTATCCCATTTGTGTGGATGATTCAGAATAACATTTGTTATTCTTGTTAAGATTTTTCAGTAATTGAAGGATGTACTGTTTTATATTATTTTCACTTAAACTGTGTGAAACATGATTTGTTGAACTCAGTTTCATTTGAGTTAAATTCTCTTCTAAATAAAAGTGATTTGTATTAAACATGCTTTATAACTGAACCTCTGCTTTTTCATTCAAAACAAATATGTAGTTACATGAACAAATGTAATGAAAATACACCCAACATTATTTTTAATTTTTTACCATCATATGTAAGTTCTTGAACTGAATTCCTAAAATAAATTGTTTCAAAAGAATAATTTAGTGTACTTTAGTACATCTTTTACAGCAGCTTTGGTAGATTTAGTTAAGAAATACAAATTATAATTCAGATACAGAGTGCAAAACCACGAAGTATGTGTGTGTGTGTGTGTATACATACACACACACTTGTTTATTGGGTATGGCTAACTATTCAAAATCACTATTCCATTATTTTCAAAGTCTGCTGTTTACACTCCATATTATCATTTAAGACCAATTGATATTGATACAATGCATTTTGATTTTTAACAATAACTTAACAATTAAAGGAACCTTGCCATGCTCAACTAGAACAAAATAAATAAAAAATTGGGAATTTAGAAACCAGTAAATAGGGATCGTATTTACTTAAACTACAAACTCCCATTTTGACTCCATGCTGTTACCTAGAATTACATTTCAAGGAATCAAAATAGGGATTTGTAGTTTGAGTAAATGATACCTACAGTATCTCCAGCCTTGTTATCTTACTTTTTTATGATCTCTATTAGCAAGTTTTTAAATTCCCAATTATTTATTTATCTTGTTTACTGGCTTTTTAATGCTCAACTATGGGTAAAGGATTACTTGATATGATAGCTAACTTTATACAGTTCATGATGATTTACTGTAGCTATTAACCATTTGATAGCATTAGTTCGAGATGTAAAATCTTAAGGTGCAGCTGGAGATGAGCATTTATAGTTTCTGTGTAACTAAATTCTCTATATATAAGGCATAGCAATGGGCAAATATATGCATAGACTAAGACACAACCCCCACTAAGTGCAAAAAAAAGCAGCCGTTTCAAATAAAACACATGTGTCTAAAGCATCACATTAAATAAGCCTTTGTGTCTTTTTTAAAGTAATTATTATACGAATGTGTGTAATAAAATTTAATATTATGTGCACTTATTTTTTTTTACTCCTTCACTTCATACATAATATAGGGGTTGGCTCCCTAAAGACACCAATTGTATAGTGTACAAAATATTGAGTATCTACATGTCACAGTCATCTGATGTTCATCTATTATTGACTGGTAATTCCTGTTTCACCATGTACTTAAGCTTTTCAAAAGAACACCAGATATTTGTAAGAAAACTAACTTCAAGGAGTGATGTTAACATCATTTACACTAGAATTATGATGTTTTTTAGCTTATGTAAAATACAGAATAAATAAATAGACTTTCACAGTACCTCATTTAGTATTCTACAAGAAGTTTAGGTTCAAAATACCAAGCCATTTTTGTTGTAGGCTGGCAAGAGAATCATGATAATTACAAACAAGCCATTTTGAGCAGATTTTGTTTTCCTTGCATACTTTTGGTGCGTTTTTATATGTGTACAGCTTTAGCAGTCAATAGTAAAGATTTTAATGTGTTGTTTGTACTGAATCTTTACTGTTTAAGGAACTTTTTTTACAAACATTCTATTAGGATTTGTGCAATTCCTTACAATCCCTATTAGGAACCACTACTGTCGTTCACGATAAAATTGATATTATTATTAAAATTATTATATTATTATTATATAAATTTCACTAAATTAAAATTTTTCATACAATTTTAAAACATTATATTTTTAGAATAGTCATTAACAAGAAATAATTTCACTATCTACAGTTTAACAATTCAAACCAGCTCTTGTTCCATTCATTAAAGTATATTGTAAAATTACCTTTCTGAGATGAGTGTTTTTCAGTTTCTTCATGATACTCCCACCCAAAAGCAGTTTTGTCTTTCCTTTCTGACTGAATACCATATTTTCCACCAAAACCTTTGGCATAGTCTGTCTGAGACTCATGTTTCTGTGTTCTTTCATAATAGTCCCAACCCAATGCTGACTTGTCTTTTCTATCTTCTTGTACACCATACTTCCCACCAAACCCAGTTGCATAATCTGATAAGGAAATTATATCAATATACAAATAACCTGATAAAAATCCTGTTCCTTTTCACATCAAACAAAGTGTTGTTTTAGTTCCAAAATTTATCATCACAACACAATCCTATCAGGCAGTAATAGTGAAACATTCTTTAATTATGATGGACAAAAAAATCTCATGTCAGAATTGTATTCACTGTTTAGCATTGAATTTACGTATCTAACAAAACTTAATGAAGTTAACATAAAACTGCAAATGCATAAAAAATAATGATTTAATAAGCAAAACTGAAATAACACCAAATTAGTGAGAGGGGGGTAGGAGTAAGAGAGAAACTAACTTTCAACAAAAATTTATGATGTTAATGATCAACAGAGCATAATATATCTGTGTAAGCATTATCATATTATGAGCAAAAAGAGGCCAGACTACTTACTTTAGAAACTACTAAGCTGTGAGTAATAATGAGTTACACGAGTACTTTCATAATAATGAAATATGAAGTCACATATAAAAAAAGTTCTTTACAACTGTATTTAAGTAATCAAAGAAAAGAAGAAAGTCCAACTGTGTTAAGTACAGTATGATGTATATACTACACATAATACCATGTGTTTGATTTGATGAAATAGAATGTTAAATTACAATACAGTATAAAGCGGTATTAAAATTCATTAGTTCCAACTATCAATTTAGTAAACTATGTTTTCCATCAACAAAAACTGTACCATTTTCAAAACTTTTTAGATTATTCCTATTTCACAGGTTTATGTTGAAAAGCTTAAAAACATCACTAGTTTTACCATTGCTCATATTTTCCAATGAGTCTGAATGAACTTATACATTAAAGACAGTGTGGAACTTCACAGAATCACCAGCTTTTGTTTGTGCTAATGAAGCATAAAATGCATCTTCACAGATATGTTATAGTTAATATTTAACATTAATTTTTAAAACTGAAAGAATTGGCCATTTAATGAAAATTTACTGTCTTCTATATAACAGAAACAAAATGCTGGATATCTACTGTAGATTCATAAGCTTGACAAGTTACACCTGATTACAATTACAAGCTCAATCATATGTACTTGTGATAATTTAAAGTTGTTTCTTTGAATTTTGTACAAAGCTACTTGAGGGATATCTGTGCTGCCACTAATTTTGAAGGTGATAAACTAAAGGAAAGGCAGCTGGTCAATATAACCAACTTTCGATCAACTATTCACCTATGAATAATAAAACTGAGCATCACAATATAACACCCCCATGGCAGAAAGAGTAAGCATGTTCAGAGATGGTTTCCGATTCCACAAACCACATAGTGCGAGTCGAGCTCCCAAACCACCAGGTCCATTTGGATGGTGGTCCTACATTCTTCCAGCTGCTCTAAAACTAGAGGAGGTGGAGTGGGGAATGGTTATTTGAAATAATGTCTTAGCAGTAATATGAAAAAAATATAAGGAAACTGGATGTGAAACAGGCTCTGAGCTAAAGGATTCCATGATCAATAGTGCTACGGATCATAAAGCAAAAGAAGAATTCTAACAACATTATATGAGTTAAGATTGAGAGCTCCAATCTCCACAACAAGAGAGTGAGTGAAAATAATGCATGAAATAAAACTCATCAAAGAAACACATAGTTCTAAATGCAAGGCAACATTCATTGTGACAAAAATCACAGCTATCAAGGGCACTTACCAAAAATTGGAAACAGGGGTGAGTGTATGTTCTGTCTAGAAAGAAGAGTTGAAAACATAAATTAATGCACAAGAAGCAAGGAAGGTGTGTGATACAAATTCAGAACAATGACAACTCATCTGAGAAACCAAACCCACAATATGTTCAGGTATACAACTTTCACACTTAGGTATATAACCAAGTAGGAAAATAACATACAATTTAGGTAAAACGATAAAGTTATGAGGCAAAGCATGGAAGTTACAGTTCATCTAAAAAGAAAAAAAAAGAGAAAGAGAGAAAATTCACGAGCTTCATGCAGTTGGCTGATGTAACTAGTTAGCCGACATGAATTTCCATAAAGGATTCTATTTTTGATTTCATGTCTTAGATCTATGTTTGTGATAGTAAATATATATAATTAAAAAAAACTGAAATGCTGTTTGAATGCATTATTTTAGGATGCTATTTAAAACTTGGGGTATCTAAACAAAAGTCTCATGAAAAAATCAGCACACCAAACTATGTGAAAAGGCTTATTGATGGATTGCCGTAGTGTGGTTTTCCTATAAATGTTTTGCTTGCAGCTAAATTTGTATATTTTTTATAATTTTGACTGTTATTTACAAATGGTATGGATATTCAACATTGTGACCAAATTATCAAGTGCCATAAAAAATGCTAGTGCCTCTTGATATTCACTGGCTAAACACTAAAACCCACAAGGTTTTTGCCATCTCTAATTTTGAGCCATAGAATCTATGATGAACTTAGAGAGAATAACCTAAATTTTTGAATCTAATAAAGTCCAAAAAATGTGTTGGAGGGAAAAAAGAGAATGAAAGAAAAATCTGTGATAGAGAAAGAGTGAATGGCCAAGAAATAGAAAACTTGGAAAATGGCAAATGCATGACACATACTATATATATATATCAAATTAAAAGGGTATTCAACAGTAAATAAAACTCTCAAGCTGCCCATCAACTTGGTTGCACTAGGGTAGGGAGAAAAAAGGAGTTGAGTCACTATTGAAACTATTATGGCAGTCTCTGGAGCATGAAAGGAGGAACTATAAGTCAGGTTTGAAACAGACATATTGAAGACATGCTAATGAGAAGTAACAAGAAGGATGAAATCAAAAGAACATGTCTCTAACTGATTGAAAAACACAAACTTGAAAGGACATACTGAAAGTAAATTCTGCCTAAGCTTTTAAAATTAAGATATTTTCTCAAAACAAGGAACTTAAGACAAGTGCAAAGAAGCTATGCTTATCCTAAGAAACATTTTGAGCTACAAAATCTCATTAACAGGCAAGTTAAGTCGTCTCAGACAATAAGTATGTGAACCAATCAATAAAGAAGGCCAGTGTGAAAACTGAAACTAAAATAAAATTCCAAACACTGAAAAATACACTACAAAAACAACTAATTCAATAACTGAATAATAACTCTGAGAGAGTACATAAAATTTATGCAAACTTAGAAACTCTAAGAAGATTAACTCCATTCCTGAAAAAAAAAAGTCCTTAAAGATCCAACATTCTACTTCCAAAGATGGTGCAAGATAAAGTGACGGAGGAGAAGACCATTCAGTAAATATTTGTGAAAAGTAAGATGCACTGAACAGTATCAAACAAAGAACTTCCACTATAAATAAGTCTGTTTTCTTGAATGAATAACAATGGATCTAAAGAAATATCACTCTCACAAAATATTAAATTTTAAACATGACTAAGAAGAAAGATCCTTGTGAAAGAAGCTTGCCAAATCATTCTAAGAACTAGAAGATAAAAAATGATGTGAAGAACATGAGAAGTAATGGACAGAAGGAAAACGATATATCAAATGGGTTCGATGGAGTACATACATTCCTATAAAGCGCCAGGTGAGAAACATCATAAGTTCAAGTACAGTATAGATGCATTTATGAGACTGGATAGTTAAGCCAGTGGTTGAGAAATAGACAAGTCGAACTGAAACCAAAACAAGAGCTACAGAATTAATTTTAATACAAAACCAAAACTGTATGTTTATAACAGTGTAAATAGAAGTGACAAAAAGACAGATTCAGTACAACAGATTCTTTTATACAAGTTTTTATCCATTCATAAATATAATATTGTATGTAATGAAACATATTTTCTGTTAGCTGACTGATTAAGTGGCAACTAAGTCAGTGTAATCATCATAAACATATACAAAAAAAGACATTTTGTTTTAACCTTTTTGAGAGGCATGTTTCTCCAGTTTCTCATGATAATCCCATCCAAGTGCTGACTGCATGAAACACACACACATGCAAATGATATATTAAAACAGTAAAACATCAATTGTTTATCTTCAAAAATACTCAAATGACCTGTTCAATGAACTGCAACATCACATTACTGAGTTGATCTATGATGAGATGAGCATTCTTTGGACTTTTTAATGTGATGTGACATTTCCATAGCTTATTCACTAAACACTACACTTCTGTATATACAGCAAAGAATTAATTCATAAATACCTGAATAAGCTAGCATAAAGAACATGTATTTATATATTTCAGTGCATATAAATCATGCACACACACTCTTTATGGAAAACTTTTTGATATAATACAACAATTATGCATTATAACATTTCCACAACTTTCTTGGTGATTTTTCTAGTAATATGTTTTCTTACTGATATTAAAAATCATGTTTTTTTATTTATTTTGGAACTGAGACATAGGGTAACATTCAAAACACTTACAGAAGATGAGAATATAAAAAATTATAAGTAATTATATCATTTTAAAATCTATTATTTTATTAACTTTTCCTTTCAAGGTACTGTCAAAACAAATGTAAAAAACTCGTACATGTTGTATATATATTTGCGCTAAAAGTTATATATATTAAAATACAATTATCTGAAGTTGTAACTTTTCTGTTTCTAATACTTCTGTCTAAATAAAGCTAATATTAACTGATTTATTGATATCAACCAAAATTTAGTTCAAACAAAGGTAAGTGTAGAGATGTATGAAGTGGGTAAAACTCTCAGAATATCCTTCTCTATTGCACTGTACATATTTAAAATACAGACTGGTCATAAAAGCCAGTGTGAGGAGTTGAAAAACTATGTAAGACGGACAGTATAACATACAGGTGAAAAATTATAGAATGAGATTGTGGGGAATGTTACCCAGTGGATTGTGAAAATGGTATTAGGGGTACCACTATAGCAAGAGTTACAACCATCATTTTTATCACTTATTTAATTCTTACAATGATATTAGATATTGCAGCAAATAACATCCTCACAGAACTTTGTCATAATGGCAACCTCCAATTGAGGAATGGTTTCTGGGTTATGGCAATGGAACCACATCTTTGAAAAATTCAATAAGCAGTAGACAATAAGGGTGAAGTCAGGAGAGAGTGGTGGCCAGGCAAGTAGGAAGAGAGTGCTGAGAATTTTCTAACCAATCTGCTGATGTTAACAATGTTACATGCCTTACAACTTGTGGTTATCCTGCAGCAGAATGCCCAGAATGCTTCCTGAGTATCATAGCCATTTTGATGGCATACCAACATGATCCACTGTTTCAGAATTAAAATAATGTTGTACCTTCCACTGCTGATTATAGAGTAATATCTGTACATGACATTCCTCTAGTACCCTTCTCAGAAAGCAGGGGCATGCACTCTCCATGATCATTTATGCATGTACACAAAACATTTTGCTCAAGTATTACATGGCAACCTTACAGACTGTTCCAAATATCTATACTGACCTTATAACCACCATGTAACTCATCCTATCCAAGCATAGCCAGGTACCTATTGTTCAGTTTAAGAGTTATTACTTAGTATATTTAGTGATTTAATATTTAATGATTATTTAGTTTTCATAAAAAGGGTGTTAAAAGATAATTATTTTAAAAGTGATAGTTATAATAAATTTTGTTAAATAACTCTGTACGAGTCTTACATTGTGTATGGAGCTTAATTGTTGTACTAGACTTTTGTAATATTGTTGACATCATCTTACACAAAGCTTCAAAGTCTTTCTCATTATGTTTAATATTGTTGTTACTAGAGGGGTATATATTTCTAGATTTTTCTGTAACATGTTATAAATACGTACAGATAAGAGAGGAAGTAAGAAAGTAAGTTAATGAAAGTTGAAGTAAAAGTGAAAAAAGTGAAGTCAGACTGCATAATTGTCAGTTTGGCTGTAACAGGCAATTTCTAAAGTGAGTTTCACAGCCTGTATTGTAATAGCAGATAGAGGAGAATAATTTGTCTTATTAAAGGGTGTTCTAAAGTGACTGAACCTGCTTGTGTGGACTTTGATGAAAAATAGATAATTATTTAAAGCTCTGGATACAACTGTGATAACCAATAGCGTAACAAATTTTGTTTGTACATACGTTTGACTTGTTTTGAATATATTATTTTAAAACAAGTGGATGGTGTGCTGTCCATTTATTGTTGAAATTTATTGCCAACAAGTCACAGACACCTACCGTAAAGAATCCTGCCCCTATAAAAACCCAACATCTATGAAGAACTTTATTACTCTGTCAAATGCTCAAACATCACATGTATGAAACAAAAAGATTATCACAATTTGATGTTTTTAACTTGTTTCTATTACTCCTATAATTTCATATCTTAAGATAATTTTATTTCCTTAGCTATTACGCAAGAAGCTGAATAACACAGAATACAATATTTGAAATAAAGTTTTATTAAAATTTTGGTATTTTATGTAAGTTCAAGATAATATATAAATTACTGTTAGTTTTGAACCTACAATTTCAAATACATTATAGAAAGATAACTAACATTAATAATTTATACAACATCCTTAACTCAAAAATACCAAAGTTTGTTAATCCTTGATAAAGCCAGTTTTTTATTTTATAATACAAAGTTCATTATTGATCCCAATTTCACTAATACTATCTTGTATATGCTATAAAACTTCTTTTAATCAGACTAACACTTTTATATTATTAGTTCAAACACAAGAGAAGCATAAATTAGCATGCAGATCTATTGGCTATTTTGGAATTTATTAAGACCTACCTTATCTCTCCGATCATTTTGAATCCCAAATCTTCCACCAAAGCCTTTCACTGCATCAGTCTGTGACACATGCTTCTCTACCTTTGCAATATAATCATGCCCTAGAGCACTCTAGAAAAAGACATATATTACTGTCACTAGTTAAATTCAAATATATATTAAATAAAGACAACTTTTACAAATAATGTAATTATTTTAATGTAGACTATAGTATTTCAACAATCCATGACTCTGACAAACTACAAATGAGACTACATAAAAGTATTGTTATATAATTTCTATCCTTCTACTAAGGCAGTTACTTAGCTTTTTTAATGCATTATTTTGGAAAGTTCAGTAACTTCTGTTCATGAAATTAATTTACAAGCTTAATATCCCAAGAATATTTAAAATAAAATCATTGTAAAGCATTATCACATCCAAGATAGTAGGTAAACAAACAAAATGTGAAGTGTAATACAAGGTTTATTGTACAAACAAACCCTGCCATCTTTGGAAGGTCTTGTGTTTAAAAAAATCTAAACTTTACTTCAAATACAACTTCTCAATGATGCTGACTCACTCTTAGTTGTTTTCTAAAAATTATAAACTCTTTATATCATGGTTTTACTTTGTCCATTCTGTCCTGCTGAACACCAAACCTCCCTCCATAACCAAAAGAAGCTTTGGGACCAGATTCCATTTCTCTCCTCTTGAACTGTGCATCATCACGAGCAACTTGGACTCTCAAGTCAGCAATGCTGTTTAATAGAATACAAATTATTCCTATACTATCCCTCAGAATGTCAAAATATAATATTATACTATATTTTATTATAAATTTCTTGTTTATTTCAAAACAACATTGGAAAAAATATACTTTAAACATGTGTAAATCCAAAATGCCTGTGATGATGATTTTGTCTCATTTAAAAGAGCCTTCTTTGAAAAATAATATTTCTTTACTGTTCATCTTGAGTACAACTCAAAAGCTTAAAAAAAAGAAAAAACAGTCAATCAATCTTCCTTTAAACAATAGTGGTAGTCTGTCTTTACTAGCAATAACATTACTGAAGATGTGACAATAAAATAAATGTAATAATAAACTTCAGTGTTTAGCAAAAATCATTCAAATTTATTTAGTGTCATTAAAAATAATTCTGAATTGATTCGTTTGGACTGTAGGATATTTCACAATGATAAACATTAGTATCAAGTGCTTTTACTGTAAGTATTATGAAGGGCTGAGAAACAGTGTCTCAAAAAGTGACTACGTTACACTTTTAAAGAGATCTCTTAATGAAATACAAATGGAGCAGCCACAACTGGTAAGTATCAATTATGAACATCTAAGTACTTTATGTAAATTGGCAGCTCTCAAAATATCATTCACTATTATAAACTATGATTTATAATTAATTGCAGAAATCACATGGTTAACAATCTGGGAATACTTATTTTATTGCTACAATTCAATAACTATGTGAGTAGACATTGTGTGCTGGCCATATTCAGTCACTTTATAGGAAGTTATTGTTCAAAATATTATGCAGACAGGAAATTCCTTCACGTTATGTATGTCTCCCACATCATATGGGAGACTTTACATCCATGAGAATCTGAAATTCTTAACAGAATGTGCATGGGAAAATGTGGTAAGATTTCAGCAAAAGGTTCAAGCCTGTTGTACACAAAAAAAATGTGTTTTAAAAGTATATGTACTCAAGAAACATCTATCTGGCTCAGACACTGACAAGTCAAAGTGTAAGATGATGAAAAATACTTTTTTCCATTTGTTTGCATATCACACTTGAATAACCTCCACAACCTCCAAAATGCCTATCTGCAGACAGTTTTTTTCAGTATCCTGTATATCTTATCTGGTATTTACTCTCTTCTGCAACAAACTGTCCTTAAATCAGCAATGTAAGGTAAAATGAGTAGTTGATAACTCTGACAACAAATATATAGTATAATGTTGCATGACATTCTGTAAAAGGTTATGAAATGTGCTCTTTGAATCCCACATGTACACATGGAATTAATCACTTCTGATCTAAAGCAAGCTAATTATACAGATCAGAACCAAAAAATAACTTTTAAAATAATAAAGTCAGTTCTATTAAAAACTGACAAGACTTCATGTCATAAATTTTATCATTTTCACAAATCAGAATAACCTTACTAATGAGTATAACCCACATAAAAAATGTAGATAAAGTTAATATAACTTCATGCTCCAAGTAATAAATTTAATTCATACCCACTTCTTTTCAATATCTCAGTTTGTGACCATAAGAATTAATAAAGAATACGCAGTTTTCATTCAGTTATCCTCTTTCATGTTTAAGGTTTACTTAAAGCTGACTCTTGCATATTTGAATATTGTACATGTTAATTAAATGCACAATTTAAATATTTCTTGCAATTTAACTCATGTATTTTAACCCATTAACTGCTGCAGGAGCAGCTCAGTTGCTGTTTCTGACTCACAGATAAAACTGAGTTGCCATCAATCACAATAAAACGATAATTATCATCATTTGCATAGAGTTATAGTTATATATATGTGCAACTGATGGTTATTTCCATCATTCGCAGCTGAGCTATAGAACTTCAGTGACGGAAATATCCATCATTCGCAGTTAATGGGTTAAATAACTTATGACTGAAAGCAAAGTACAATATGTGATATGTAAACCACACTATATCTGCTATACCCAATATAAAAGAAGCCTTTCACCCAATACCCGGGCTTATCAAACCAGCTGGAACACAACAGACATAGCAGTGAACTAGAGTACGAAAAGTTAATATGAAGAGATCTGTAAAATTATATGTACTTTGGGATTATAAATAACAGTCTGGCCACAACAAGGCCTAATTAAAAGGTCCTACATGCAATTTTTCTTTTTTCATGGGCATTTAATAACTAACAAAAATAAAAAACATACTCAATAGCAGCAGCAGTACGGCCAGATCCTTCCACAGTCTTGGATCCCCATCGTTGTTCTTCTTCAGTTACATCATTCTACACAACCAGAAATAGTGTTGTTGTAGGTTATTTCACAGTGCACAGACTGCACTTTCAGGACTTAAGTTCAGAATAATATATATTTTCAAGTGAACATTAATGATCATATTACATGTAACTGGCAAATTAATGACAACCAGTTACTAAATATGGAATGTGCATTCATATTCCTAATGCAATACACGATGCAAACATCCTGTTTAAACTGATTTTTAAAACTTAGTACATGTATTAGCAACTCATCTCTGTAAGTAAGTTAATCATTTTTCTGAGTTTTTTTCCATCTGAAAAAATTATGATACTGATAAAAAGGCTTTGAGTTTTTAATATGAAGTTAATGAAGTTTCATTATGGAATTACCCTTGAATATATAAATTATTAAAGACACCTAGTAACCATATCATAAGTATAAAATATAATACCTGCTGTTACTTTTTCAAGCTGCTGACAATAAATTATTGCTAAAATATTGTTATAACATAGCATACATATGAGTGTTATATTAAAAAAATACTACAATTTCTATCCTATCACATAATAAAGTTTACAAGCTATTCATTAATGATATCACAATACATTTATTTTACAGTGCACTTGGAAAGCTTACCTTATTTAGTGCTTCTCACTTAATATAAAAAATATGTAGCTTTGGTTGTTTTTTTTTTTATGTAAACTGTTATATGAGCATTATCATTCATGCACATTTACACTATTTGAAAATTCAGCTTTCCTACTCCTACTGCTGACATAAGCTGGATTAGTTTTGTTGTAAATAATTTACATAAGCTTTTCAAACACATTTTTCTAAACTATCTATGCACTAAATTAATTGTGGGTTCTTGACTCTTTGTTAGAAGGGCCATAAAAAATATACAAGTCACACAAAAAAATAAAAAAAAAATAATGATCACTATCACAATGAATCCCCTGATTACTCTGAGGTCCCCTATTATCCTGCATAAAAAATAAGTGATTTCATTTAGTTGTTCTTTATCAGCTCTCTACTGTAACAGATAAAAATAAAATCACTCATTGTGATGTAATGTATGGATGCCACCAGTATCAAATGGTATAAAAACAAATTCATAATTTGAGAATTAAGCAAATACACTCTCCTGTTACATTATAGCAGACAAGGAAATACAAGAACAAAACTCAATGATGAATTAAAGAAAAACATGTTGAAAATATGCAAATATTAAAAGTAAAAAATATTATTAACATGGGCATATGTGCCATAGTTAGACAGAAAACTTATGATAGTGATATCATTACATTTTTGTTTAAAACTGGAAAACTGATTATTTCATTAAAATAATTTAACTTTTCATGTATAAAGTTCTTATTCATTGAACAAGTTTATCAAGTACATGTTACAAGGAAACCTTAATAACTAAATGTTTACTTACATTAGTTAAAATATCACCTTTCTCTTAGAAGTATTATTTTGGTATTATCTAAAGTTTAGAGTAGTTACCTTATTGAATGTTAGCCAGATTATTGTGTAGTGAACACTTTTTTAACTTTTATTACTGTAGGTACAGCTATGCTTAAAGCTGTGATATTTAGGTTTAATAATGTACTGAAATAATTAGAACTAACTTTACTGTTTGTTTTAAAATACTTAAGTATTACAAAGTATTTTAGGACACTACAGGAATTAGTTTGAAATAAACAACAAGTGTTAGCTACAAAAGGAAATGTTATTCAAAGCAAAGAGTTAAAATTATAGATTCCATTATTATTATTGTTACGTATCTGCTTGTTTGTTAATTTCCGGTATAAATTATTTCCGAGGAACTTCAGCGATACAAGTCCTTTCTTCATTAAAACTAGTTTATTCTTTCTCGATACAACTTTGTAATATACAGAATTTCCACAGTCACTTTAAACTTAACAACCTTTATAAAGCACGCTATAAATCACAGTGATTCATTCACTTTACTTACGGTACCTACTGTTGGCTTGACTCAATTATCTATCTCTATATCTATCTATCTATATCTCTTCTATTTATCTGCCTATCATGCTGGTTTTACTCACCAGGCTTATATATTAAAAAAGAGGGCGTCTCGAATGCACTCGGGCCTTCATGATCCTTTTAGAAACTCATCACATGTTACCAGCGTCACGTGACTTCCGCTGTCGTAACATTATTATTTGGCTATGAGATGTTGCTAAGTCTTTAGTAAAGTATTTTGAAGTTGCAATTACTTAAGAATATAATTAATACAGGACTTTAATGTTACACTTATTAAGCCTGGTGAAGAGCAGTTACTTGAAATGTCCCTAGATAAAGTAAATTTGTTTATAATTCAATGTTGTGAATCACAACAAACATTGATAGTCAAGAGGTTGACTCTACATGGATTACAATCAGGCATTTCAATAGTAGAAAGATTTTAATTGGCAATTGTTATATAAGCCATCTAGTCAGACAAAAGTGGTAAATCAGAAATTGAATAATGAGGATCAGGGTTTTTAATAAGGATACTGATACAGCAAGTATAAGAAACTAATTTTAGAATCACTGATTGGGATTATATATAATGTAATAGTGAGGAAAAGAATTTCTTGAAGTGTTTCAGAATGATTTGCCATAAAAAGGGTCAGATACCCAATCAGAATGAAGGCAATTTTAGGTTTATCGTTAACCACCAATGGAGATGTAGTTACTAGAATTGAAATTGAGGAATAATTGAGAAGAGTGGTCATTGCATAATTAAACCTGATGTTTTACTACATGTTGAGATAAAAATAAATGTAATTTTAGTCCCTAATTTTTAGGAAGTAAATTTTGAGGCCAAGAGAAAAGATTTATCACTAATAAATTGGGATGATTAATTAAAAGGTGATTTGGGACAGATTATATGCATGTTTATAAAAAAAAAAGGATAAAGCTTGCTAAAGATATACAGGAGAAAATCAAGTTTAAAAGGTTTAAATTGATAGATGTTTGAAGATTTACAAAACTACAAGAAAGCTAGGAATTTGGTTTAAAAAATATCCAACACAGTTTATTAGAAACAGCTAGCTGATAATGTAAACACTACCAACAAGGATTTAAAGTACACTAAAGATAAGCAAAATGTTCAAATGGGGACTGGGCCTATAAAGGATAATAAGGGCAAGGTTTTTGTTGAATACTATGAGATGGATGTTCTATTCTGTTTTACAATTACATGAAAGATCACTCTTGCCTTAGAGGATATCAAATAATCACCCTAAAGTATATTATTGGCAAAATCCCAGAGTAGACTGTAACTAGAAGGCTTGTCTATCAGTTTGAACCACTGCTACCCTCATCATTAGGTGGTTACTGTGGTGAAAGATAAACCTAGATCAACACTGCTGAATTTTAAGATAATACATGGGAAAGTTTTGAATCTGGTCAAAAGACCTTGACAGTAGCTTTAGATGTGGAATATATCTACAAAAGAGTCCAGCTGCCCATTTTTGCTGACAAGATGTTCAAAATACCCATCAGCAAAATGTGTGTAAGATGGGTCACAGCAGCACTAACTACCATAAAATGCATCATAAAGCGGGAAAGCTGAAAATCAGACTGGGTCACCATCAATTCTGGTCAGCCTCAAGAATCATCACTCTTACTAGGCCTCTGCAACATCTGCACCATGGCTTTAGCTCACCTTGACAGTCCAACCAGATGTAGTGTGATAACCTTTCCTGACAACATTCTGGTGTACAGTAGAGGCTCTAGCAAAATTTAAATCAAAAGCAAGCTTCAATCACCACTCAGTAGGGTGTGTAAATGATGCAGTGGAATAGGAGTGTCATCAATCCTGCTAAACCCACAACTATGTTCTGCCCTCTCAACAACAGTCACACTGAAGTAACTTCTGACAGATAACTCAACTTCACCAGCCACATCAACACCATGATAACCAATGCTACTAAGGTATAAATGTAATGAAGAATATTATCTGCTCATGCTCAACAAAAGTCTACCCACTTTATTGTGGATTACACATTAATGATGATCAATACGAGTTCTACAGAGATAGATAGGATTGAAAAGATACAAAATACCTGTTTAAAATTGATCAAGGGATGTACTTAAGCCACTCCCATCAAGGCCATATTACACCCTCACAAGCCTCAAACTCAATGCAGACGCAAACAGTTCTTACAAGCAAAATTCTTCATGCTGGCCTTCATGCAAGAGAAGCCTTCCCATATCAAATCTGGCACAAATCTACTGGCAGAATATAAACTTCTGCATTGATAAGGCAAAAACAGCAGACATGGAAGGTCTTCTGCTATGCCCAGAGGAAATAAGACTGCTCGAAAACAAAGTACCATATGGCATAACTAGGAAAATCAAAAGATGGGCAGAATTATTAGGACAGCACATATATACAAGGTCACTTGTAACACCAGTAATCAAACAATCTTTTTCCTTTTGCAAAGCAGTTAATCTTCACAAGGGATCAGTGGGGTTGTCACCTAGTGTTCATTTCAACTATAAAAGAGGATGGCAGTTATATTCCTTTTTCAGGAGGTAAACAGACAGTGGGTTGGTGTCTGAGAACTGAAGAATTGCTAATGTTACTTCCATTTCTAAATGGGTTGATAAAAGTTGCCCTGGAAATTACAGACCATTTCATCTTACTTTTGTAGTGGTAAAAATTCCAGTTTTGTAAAAGAACCTTTGCAAAATCATCTAATGAAATATGATATCATAAAATAAAATCAACAAAGATTCAATAAAGAGAAATATCTCCTTACTAATCTATTAACTTTTTTTAGAATGTTACATGTTATCTGGATGATGGAAAGAATGAGAATTTTGTTTACTTGATTTTTTAAAAGATTTTGATAAGTTGCCACACAAAGGATATGTAAAAAACATCAGTGTGAGAATGGTGGAAATGTTAGTAAACTGGACTTTAGGATGACTGAATGAGAGTTTGTTTGTAGTTAAGCACAAAGATACACAACAGGCTGGCTATGCTGTGTCAACCAGAGGTATCAAA